TAGAAAATCTAGTTTTGAAACACAGTACTTAGTTCGTTCATTTCCAATTAATCTTCCTGTTCGAACACCACCTTATTCGCCCTCAGTATCTCCAAGACAATCATCAAACTCTAATTGCATTATTCCTAACTTTGAGCAGAAACATATTACAAAATCAAATGATGAATTGGGTCCAAAAAAAGGGTTACATATATTGCATTCTTCTGACGGAAACATCAATCATAATCGTGGCCCATCTGTTGCTGAAATAAAAGAAAAATTATTGTCAACAATCAACAATAACGGTAACAACAATAATAATAATAACGATAACAATAGTAATAATGAAAAAGTAATGATCTTTAACAATTTACTTTGCATGTAAATTTGAATGAGACGCTAAAAAAAAAAAAAAATCTATTTAGGCATCAAATTCAGTGCATGATATTTCAATACTAAGGCAAGGTCATGTTAATAATCTACTTTCAAAATTTGATGCTGTAAGAACTTCTAAACAAGAAAATATCGTCAATAATTCTACACATGTTAATGAGCCCACTAAAGAAACAGTATGTTATATTTTTTTTATTTTGGATAATTACTTTTTCAATTATTAAAACTACAATTATTTTTCTTTGATTTCTTTGATTAAAGTACTCTACGGATCAACTTGAACATTCAAATCAAAGTCTAACACTAACACAAAACCAACAACAAACAGAAACTCCAATTAACTCTCCTAATGATTCATCCAGTATGAATGAATCAAATAAGATAGGTATAATTAATAGCATATATTCTACTTTCGGAACTGCTTTTGGAAAAAAGAAAATTTTCCTTCAGTAATTTTGCCGTTAGGCTTCATTTTGATAGTTTTATATTATGTCTGTATTTTTAGTTAGATAAAATATTACCATGTCACTGAGTGACGGAATGTATTTTTTTATTATAAAAAGAGATAATATTCAATTATTAACATTCAAAAAAGATCAAATCTAGGCGAGTGTTTTAACCACTCTAGTAAGTTTAGGTTGCAGATAAATTAAATAGTTTTCTGTCTATAATTTGAACTTCATCCTTATAAAAAGATTTGTAATTGATATATCCAAAGAAGCCTCTGGAGGTATTTTTTTACAAATTATTAAATAAAGATAAGAGTATAGCCTCGCCTTTAATACAAAAAAAAAAAAAATTTAAAAAAGGATATTAAACAAATTATAGACAACTCTAATGGTTTATTGACTCTCTCTAAGTGTAAGTCTAAGTGTAAGTATAGTGCTTATTATCTCTATCTCCGTTTTCATATTAAATTTAACGGATATCCGACGGATTTTAGTATCCAACGGATAACGGATCCAAACTCTACTTATTTTTCCGGAGCAAAGTGAGCGAAAGACACTATATTCCTATATGAGATCTTTGCTATGAAAATGACCCTTTGAAGCTATGTTGATTTTGTGAATAAAAATTAAAATTTCCATCTAGTTATCCAATTTGTCTGAATTTTTTAAGACCTATTTAATTCTACAAAATAAAAACAAAAGTTCATTCAAATTGGATAACTAGATGGCTGGCAAATTTAATTTTATTTACAAAATAAACGTAGCCTCCGAGGGTTATTTTCCTAACATAGCATGCTTTATTGATTGATAAATCTGTTTGTGCTTACTTAGCTCTGGACACACATTTATCTACGTAGTAAATATTATTTTATAAACTTGACAGCATTTAGGAAAAAATGATTATGCATTCATACGAAAAACAACAGATTATTTGGATGTAAAATCATACATGTTCAATAGTTTATATAAGGTTTTTCATTCTTAATGCACTTAAACCAAATTTGAATGAGTTCTTTATACATTATAAATATATTTTTTATTTCAAATCTGTGATTTTATTAAAATTATCATGAGATATAGAAAACCAATTACTGTCACGGAGTTTCTTGGTCATACCATAGCTAAGATCCAATTCATTTAAAGATTTCACTCGCTTAGCTAATCTCTCGATTTGCTGTGGCCACATTAGGGGCTGCTTATAAAGACGTTATCAAATACACACACGGCTTACGGCTCCGTTTGATTTCACCGACACTCACTTCAACGACATGCCATTTTACCGACAAGTTTATTTCACCGGCAATTATTTCACCGACAGTCATTTCGCCGACAAAGTAATTCTGGTCATTGTCGTTAGGGTCCGGCTAGAGTTAGAGTTAAGGTTAGTGTAATTTATAATAAAAACTTGTCGGTGAAACATGCTGTCGGTGAAATAATTGTCGGTGAA